CAAAGATTTTAGTACTTTTAAATGGTTAAAAATAAAACAGAACAGCTCTCACAAATATTATACATCACAATGTATGCTTTTACACAGGCCTGAAATCCCACCTAAATTTGGTAGTTGGTTTCCAGTTATCTTTGTGTGTGATGCTAGTGTGTATGTATGTACAGTACTGTATACAGTATGAAATAATTACAAAAAGCTTACTGCAAAATAAAGGTGAGTGCCATTATACAGAACTAAAAGTTAAAAACATACATATGGGAGCACAAATTCAATCATGGGAATTAAGTTGAAGCCTTGGTTTTGTAATGTTAACCTTAATATCAGTAAAAGTGTTACTGAACCATTTTTTACTCCTTTTTTCTGTTACAATCATTAACAGTTAACTTAAATAAGTGGCTATGGTTATTGTGCATCCCAAATTCAAATGTGAGAATTTTGAAATAGGCTACAGAATATAGAATAGGCTATATCTGTAACAAGCGGCCTACTTTTATGTTAAATACTTGAGCTGTTCCACAAAAGCACTCAATCAGGGTTGTTTCTTTCAACAGTTAGTTCACCCTGCTGCAAAAGGGGGAATTCGCACAAAGTCATTGACGTGTTTAACAAAGCGATATATCGAAACTGTAGCAAACTATGCAGTGATATACAAAACCTTTTCTGGAAAATAATTTGCCATTGAAGGTAATAAAACAAATACAGTGTTGGGTTTTAAACTAATATGGGTTGAAAAGTATACACATAATGGAGGGAATTTAATTATTCTGCTGAAATGTACAAACAAAATACTAATTTAACTATATGTTAGTCTGAATACCTCTGGTGAACAGGGAGAAGTGATGCAGCCAATAGGTGAACTGGAACCAAGACAGTAACTTAATGAAGCATCCTGTTTAAGATATAGGGTGTCAGTTCAGCAAATATGTTTGTCACTCACATCTACTGAGAAATTCTATTAATTATTCTGAGCCCTAAAAATTAAGCCTTGAATAAAAAAAACTAAAACTTACAATAATACTGACAAATTAAATATTAGATCTTACCATCTATTGTAGATGAGCACAGCCATTGCAGTAGTAGGAGGTAAGGTAGACAGGACCAGATCCACATGTTTAACTCCAGGGGGTACTTTACTGACGCACAGGAGCTCATTGAGAAGCATATTTAACACTGGGATAGACAAACTGAGGGGAACCAAGAAAAGAAGAAAAAGGTCTCAGAAGCTAATCAAATTAGGTCTGGTCAACTTGTGGACAAGAGACAAATAAAATATATTTTTATTAGAAGTTTTGCTGGTGGCATGCAAAGTACCCTCATGTAAATTCAGTTCAAACAGTGAAATGAATTGTTAATTGTAAAT